CGCGCTGCTGTGCCCAGCGCTCTGAGGAAACACAGACAGCCCGAAAGCCTTTGGGATGACTTACTGAGGGGCTGCTTGTCCGTGGTGAATCCTCCAAAGAGGAAGAGATGATCCGAGGAAATCGGTGTTAAGGAATGCCACGAGCGCCCTACTGGGCACAGGCCTTGCGTGATTCTGTTTTAAAGGAGAGCAGCACAAGTTACACATATGCTACAGGAGAACTTTGCTGTTTTTTTTTCCCTTCTCTGGTTATTTTTAAGATGTTTGAATCACGTTAGCCACCCTGCACAGCCTGTGACCCCCAACACAATTTCTGCAGACCAGCAAAAGGCAGTTCATGAAGACACCAACCCAACCTGTGTGGCCAGGCTGCTCCTATCAGTACCCAACAATTCCTGACAGCAACAGGGCATCAGCTCTGCTTGAGATCACTTAGAGTTCATTAAGTGTCCAGTATGTGATCGGAAGTAACAAAACCACCCCCCCAAAACACACACACACACACACCAAAAAAAAAAAACAAAAAACCTCCCCAAATCCCCTTCCTATGCAGTTACATGCTGCTATAAAGGCAGAAGAGCTCAAGTTTTAGTACCTACATTTCATTCCACTCCCATGTATCCAAATTTAGGTAGTAAAGATCATTCATTCTGGACTCCTACAATAAAGCAGATGATGGTTGAAACATCCTGTTTGGGCGTCAGTAGCACATGGCTAAACTGGGCTGGGGTCTTACTCTGTATCTGCCACCGAATACGTAGCCTCTGTTCCCAACTGTAGCACAGGCATGAGCCGCTCGTGGAGACGGAGTCTTACCCTGGAAAAGAAAACGTCAAGTAAGAAGGCGAGTTCATCTGATGAATTCGCAGGAGGCGGTAACGGCAGGAGAGGAAACCTGCAGCAGAAGCAGCAGAGAGGAGCGGGGTGGAACGTGCCCCGCAGCGGCGCTGGGGCTGGCGCGGTGCCTCGCCGGGCGCCGCACACCCGGGAGTCCTGGATCCGCAACAAGGTGGGGAAAAAGCTGAACTACAGTGAGATTTATGAGGTTGCTAATGGACAGGGTGTGGAAAAACATCCAGTAAGTCAATCTGTGGACGGAAACTTGCTTTCCTTGATGAACGGAAGATCAGAAAATTGACTGAGGAAGGACTCCCCCCTGCCCTTTTAGAGTGGCAAGCTGTAAATTCTGCTTTTAGAAGAGCCTCAGGCAGGGTCAGAAAACCTCAGACTGAGAACGAGACAATGAGATAATGAACCATTAAACAATATTTTTTCTAGAGCTGCTTCCAAGGTATTTTTCAGACCTGCGTGTATAAAAACAAAAGAATCTTTCAATGATCTGAACAACAGCCTTCTTATCTCAGGCTTCACTTCCTCCAGCTCCGTGGCAGTGTAACTCCATTCGTGTCTCAGCACTTGGGGACATTTCCAACGGCCTCTACGTGCAGTCACAACACATGTTCTGGTGCTGTTTCCACCACAGCCCAGCAGCCAAGTGCAACCTGCCGAAGCGTCACACAGCAGCGAGGCCGGCGGGGGCCACGCGCCGCAGTCCTGCAGCAAAACCATGAGGGAGAGGAGGTCCACGGGGGAAAAGGAACGTGATGGGAAGACAAAGCAGGATGAAAGGCTGGTTTGTCACTTTTTGAAAGCAGATGGGACCTGGGGTGTGGGTTTAATTCCTCCCCTGGGTGGTGGGGAAGGGAGCACGCAGCCCCGGTGGCACCTCGGCCTGGTTCCCTGCCCAGGAGCGAGGGCGGGATGAGCAGCGCTGCAGGCACCGAGCGGCACCCCGTAACGGGGCAGCGATTCAGCCCATGAGAAAATGAACTTGCCAAGAGCCAAGGGACGAGATCAGCCCCGCACAGGGCATCTCCTGCGGGATCCTGCCTGCTGACCCAGGAGGCACTTCCCACGTCTCCTGCCCGCTGGCATGAGGTATTGCAGAGAGCCCTCACACCTTCAGTAGCTCCTGATATTAGGAGCTAGTTTATATCCTGAGGAAGGGATCAAGGGGCACCCGAGAGCTGCTCACTCAGCAGCTCAAGACTGTTAACATGTAAACAAGGCTGCAGGGTAGAGCAGGAAAGCAGAAAAAAAATTATTCTGAATGTACCTACGTGCCTCTTGCTCTGTCGCCACCTCTTCTAGAAGAATGGCAGGAAGAGAGGCTGGAGATCCGCAGGCTCAGAGCCTCCCACGGCCCCGGCACACACTGCAGCTACGGGCCCGGGCCGAGAGGGGCACGCTCGTTTTGACAGAATGTGACAAGAGAGAGGACAGCCAACGCGCACGTTCCTGAAGGGCTCCAATGTAAAATAACCAACATGAGAACAGTAATTACCGTAGTTATAGGCTGGCTCCAAGTAAAGGTTTCGGTGTCCAGAACATGTACATGATCGTTCCAACCTCTAGGAAGACCCGAGTTCTTTAAAATCCAACAAGAAACAAGTTTTAATAATCATTAATCAGATATTAGATTTGAGGTTTAACTAGAAGTCATTTCAAAGTGGGAAAAGCTTGCTTACCCAAAAAGAGGTTTCATCGAATTCGAAAGTTCCCCGTTGTTTCCCTTCAGGAAAATAACCATAGCCTCCAAAAAATATTAGCCTGAAACAGAAGGGTGTTGAGATCCATTAGAAATACGAGCACATTCACTGCTACACACTAAAGCTATGCAAAGGCTGTACTCAAACACAAGCTGGACAGCGAGGGCAGCCCCTCTGGCTCCACTATTTCTAACGTGCCTACGGTGCCGTTATGCAGGTGGGAGCCCCGGCCCCACGCACCCTGCGAGCTGCGCTACATCCCGGGGCTCTTTCCCAGGCCTGGGGCTCCACGGCTTTGCTCCCGGTGCGGGGCTCCGGGACCTGCTCCCGGTTCACTGCGCTCACCCACCGCCCTTTCCGAGCCCTTCGCACGTTTTTCCCTGAGTCCAAAACCCGGATTTACCGCTGTGAAACGCAGAGGGAAAGCGCACGGGGAGCAGGTGAAACGGATACCGGGAGGGAAGCCGGGGAGCGAGCCCGGGGCACCACGGGCAGCAACCTCTACCAGCGGTGCTGCCCACCAAGGCTCTGCTTTGGGTTTTCTGCTTGGGAAAGACTTATTTTCTTTGCACTCGTGTTTTGTTTCTGAGCCTGAAGAGCAGCTGTTGTGAGAAGTCAGTCACTTAATGTGATTTCGCTGCTCTTTGTCTCTTAAAATGGAATTTATATTTGTTTGCAGTTCAGTGCTTCTTGGAAATGAATGGCATGGTTATGCCGGAAAGTTTTATTAAATTACAAGATACCAGGAAACCGTCTGCACTGCCTAACCAAGCGCAGGCCCACAGCCCCAACCTAGCAGATTGACATCTAAAATTCTTTTCAAGGGAAAAAAGGGAACAAAAAATCCCCTCAGGCTCAACAAGGCTACCAAACCCACCACGCTGCAAGGAAGGTAACGGCCGCCCTTCTTGCTGAGAGGCCACCAAGCAGCAGCACAGGCGCTTTCCAACCTCTTGGGAGCAACACACGGAGCAGCGCAGGTGCCTCTTATGCATCCAAATCACCACGTACAACCCGGGTACAGCAACCAGCACCCCCCATCGCCTCTGCCTCAGGGCAGCCTGATTTGACACAGCTGAGGCCAGCTGCACCAACAGGCAGCAGATGCCTGTGCTGTGCAGGTGAAGCTTTGCTTGCAAAACTCCCTCTCAGAGCTAGCGCTGCCCTGGCTGAACAAGCGGGCAAGGCAGCAGCAACGTTTTGCCCGCCAACTCGCCCACAGTCAACATCTTATCTTCATCCTCCTCATCTTTCCCAAGGTCTGGAATGCCAGGCGGCCTCCTGGCACATCCTGGATGCTGTCCCAACACATTAAATCGGGTAACATCAACAGCAGTTCAGCTAACACATTCCTTGCTTTGCGTAACCGGCACAAACATCCCGAGCTCATCACGTGAAAGAGCCTCACGCAGTTTTAGGTCAAAACAGTTTCCCATTCCTGAGCGGTCAAAGAAATGCAAGCTGTCCCACCAGATATGACAAAAACACTGCATTTTGCATGGCACCCAGAATTCCAGGATAGTTTTATATGAAGATTAACTCCAGATGCAATTGCTAAGGGAATGATGTTGATATAAGCAACCAGGATGCAGCACCTTTAAAGTAATGCCCTGAGAATGCAGGGCATTTGCCTTTAATGAGACTCTATTTTGGACTGTGACTCACTTGGATATTTTGCAGCATACACATACTCAAATTAGGAGTGAGGTTTTCTCATTTATCAAAGGTTAAAGGTCTGAACCATTTTAAAGGGCTGCCTGGGCAACAAACCCAGCATTTTCCTGGAGCACGTACGTGCTGCAGGCAAAAAGTCCTTTGGCAGTTTTTGCTCAAACAAAAAGATACAACAGCAAAAAGACTAAGAGTGATTAAAGCAAACACACGCGCAAGGAGAGCTCTGCTGACTTCATTGCTGGAGCCTTACTTGTTTTTGTAAACCCAAACGCCAAGTTTGTCCTTTGATGAAGGGGGGACCCCCTGACATTCTACTCTGACCCACTGCAGCACTTTGTCCGTGGATCTGGAATTTAACATGTAGAACTGTAGAAAATAAAAAGATTTTTTTTTACCCACACAGTTAGCTTAAAGCTTAAGTCTGTTTGATGTTAATGTATCAACTTTTAACTAGCATGTTTTGGAACAGAAGTACTTTTAAAGCTTTTTTTCCTAACTACATGAACACTGCCAATGTTTTGTACAAAACGTGGAGCCAAAAATCCTTATTTTGCAGACTCCAGGCCCTAACACTCTTTTGCCAAAGCAAGAAGCTACAGACACTGAGTTTTACTATCTGGAATCTGAAATGGGATAAAATGAAGATGAGTACAGAGGAGCAATTGTCTTGCAACAAACATATCCAGTTCAAGAGATTTTTTTTTATGGTATCAACTTCTTTGCACATTACATCATTTTACTTTGAGAGAAATAGCTGGTGCAGATAGATAAAGTAACCGATATGTAGCAGTCGGAAGCAAGTCACACTTTATAAATTCAGTTTGTTTCAGACTGCATTGCCCCAGGTCGCTTTCAGTTTATACTTAAAAGTGAGGCCCAAACTATTTAATTTAAACCATAATTTCAGAATATGGCAAAATACCCTCAGAAAATCCAGAGAAGAGTAGCGTTTCAAACAACCACAGAGCAGTTACAAATCATCTCCTGATGTTATCTCTGTGGACTCCAGAAGCTCTCAGCTTTCAGAAAATATGAACTCCAGTCACCAAAGCACTACAACATACAGGGTGACCTGCTCTAAGCAGCGGTAGCCAGAACAAATAACAGGCTGTGGTGCTTTTTCAGTGGTAAAACCACGTGAAATGATGCAGAGCTGAAGGTTTACACAGGCCAAACTTCACATGATCTGACTTGCTGTAATAAACTAATAATAAACTAATCCAAAGTCAGCCACCTGATCACCTGCATGAAGGCAATGCAAGTGCTGGACACTGCACTGTGTTAGTCAAAACCTTTTTGGCAAGCACAAAAAGGACATGGCTTCAATTAGTTCAAATTTGGGGGAGCTGCTGAGAGGGTGATAAAGCTGGTTATCTGCTTTCAAGAAATACAGATACAGCCACTAGGTAGAAATGCTATATTGCATAAGCTATAGAGGACATAGCAGCTGGATACATGTTCAGCATTCCCCATTATTTACAATTAAGCTCTGAAATGAGATCCAGCCTGTCCTGCCATTCAGAGGAAAACACTTCCGTGATTTTTTAAGATGATGCAATTGCTTAGGATGGATTTTAATGAACTGAAAAATCAACCTCAGTGTTTTAAAAACCGAATTAAAAGCTTATGAAGAGATACTTATTTGTGAGGACAGATTTATCTTTATGTTACTGACCTTGTTTGTATTGCCACGTGCATGATGTCCTCCAAACAGGTACACCACTCTGTCCACACACACAGCGCAGCTTCCAGACATGGACGGGGGCACATCTCCCTCTGTTTTACTTTTCTTCCTAGAAGCAGAGTTAAAAATGTTTTATCTGATAAAAATGAACAACGGTGATTTTGTCTGGGTGTAAGTTTTTAACATTACCTCTATGTCTTTAACTAAGACAAGTCCCTATGGACTATTCAGTCGAGTTTTTCGTGCTTTTGTAGATGCAACAATTTAAAACAGTAAAGAGATATTTCAGAGGGAGGTGGGGAACAGGTAATTTAATTAAATCACTTTTAATGGGGCAGGAATCCTGCCTGCCCCGTTCAGCAGTCTGATATGCATTTCGCATTCCTGAAAATGCCAGAAAGATCCCCAGGCAAAGAAGATACATCTGTGTGAGCTGCAGGGTTTTACTTTGCTACTTATTTCAGTGCTTTGTAAATCCTGTGACCACAAAGAGGAGTTTCCATTCCACATTCAAGGCCCTCCTCAGCCACGGTGACACCTGAAAGCAGTGCTGAAACTGCACTGCCAAGAGCCTCGCAAGGCCCTCGCTCTCTGTGGAACTGCAGCATTTTGCTCCCTTCCCTGGCACTGCAGGAACACAGGTTTCAAACCGTGGGAGTTTCCTCAACTGCATAAACATTTCAAAACTCTTTAAAAGGGTAACAAATAAAAAGCTCGATGCTGGTTCTCTCCTTCATGTGCTACTGTAATCACAAATGGTACAAACACCATTTACAGAAACTAAATACTGCACCAGGCAGCCCAAAACATTTCATATTGATGATCTTATCATCAACAATTTCTGTGATTCCCACAGGGACTGCCTGCTTAAGTTGCCTCTCCTACTTCACTTTTTTTCCTCCATAAAATGAAAATTAGTAAGCTGTTTGTTTACTGTACCATCTTCCAGTTTCCATGTTGTAGATCCATATTTCATCTCTAGGCAGGTAGAAGTCATAAAATCCCCTCACTTGGGCGTTCTGCAGAAGAGCACAGAAAAGGCAGCATTAGCAGGACGCTCCGCATATTGAACCACAGGCTCCTGTGAACGTTGACACCTGCTCAGAGATCTGGCTGTGGAAGAGAGAACAGCAGGAGCAGCTGCCTGTTGCACTCCTGTACCTCTCCCCAGCAGGGCAGCCCCTGGAATCAGCCTCTCTTTGCTTCTGCTGGAGACCAGACAAGCTCCCAACAGAGCCAGACACTGGCATCTATGAAAGGGAGCTAAATCGTCCCTTCATACCCCAAATAGGATAACCAGGATAAATATATGAGCTAAGTTTTATTTACAATTCCCCCCACGTGTCAGTAGCAGAACAACACACTAAAGTTTTACTGTGAGCAACTTATCTACTAAAGTCACCATCAAATAAGTTCGTCTTTGTTCTTGTTAATTTGTCTAAATGACTTGGTTCTGCCTGAAGCTCATGAACGCCCCAGCACGACAGACACCCAACCCACGATCATTAACATACAAAACACCCTTGTGCTGCAAATAAAGCACAGCTTTGCATAGGCCACATTTCAAATCACAGAGCATTTCCTTCTCGTCTAACAGAAACATCAGTGAGAAAGGCCAACACCTGCATCCCCCAAGTTATCTGTTTGCCAAGATCTGTATTTAACGGAATCACAGAATGGTTAAGGGTGGAAGGGACCTTTGGGAGGGGACGGACGTACCTTGTAGCCTCCCCAGACGTACATGCAGCGCCCGTCGGTGACCGCCACGTGCCCGCTGCGCTCGGCGGGGCTGTCGTTCTCCAGCTGCTCAAAGCTGTCCTCGGCCGCAGCCGGGAGCTCTTCATCTGCCTGCAGGTCCTCGTTATCATCAGCCATTTCGCTACGGTGCTACGTGCACAGAACACACAGTACAGAGCATTGAGAAGCAGCAGCAGAAACCACCAGAGGAGAGAAAAAGAGAAAAAAAGCCCTCTGCACTGCTGAATCTTTCATAGCAATGTTTCACTGGGAGAAGCCATGCCATGAATCAAGAAAGTTTCAGGTGTGGATTCCTGAGTTCTGTATAATTTGCAATGGTTTCAGTTGCTGATTTTAGCAGTCTCTTCTCTCCACACAGGTGCAACTGAACGCAGTAAATTTAAAGGCTTTGTCCACACTATGGTTTTCACAAAAGTCTTTGCTCCTGCAGCTTTTTGATCAATGTCCCTTTGGGCTGCCTAAGTCGAGTCTCCCCCGCACAGAATATCCAGAATCCAGCAACTCTGGGCAACGCTACCAGAGTCAAACGCAGAGCAAAGCCGCCCGGGGGTGCGCCCAGGGGTGCCCAGCGCACAGGAGCCCGTTACATGAGCAGCCCCCTCGCCACGCTCTCGCTGGGGTCACAGGTAATTTAAAGCCCCAGATGTGGGTGGCACAAAGCAGGGGGCTGCCATCAGCCCTGCCAGCTCCTCCTGCAGCGCCCGCACGCTCCCCCTCGGCCGCACAGGGAAACCCTTGGGATGCGGCTGTGACTTCCCACTCGTGAGTCGCTCCCCACGCTCCCTTCTGCTCCTGCTCGCGCCTCCGCGGGACCTGGAGCTGGCGTCATACAAAGACTTTCATGCCCACATCAAAAGGCTGGGAAAGCTGGACAGCCCCAGGCAGAGCTTTGTGCCACTAAACAAAGGAACAGAAGGGAAAAGGGCCTGAGCAGACTCCTCCCACACCCTGCACTGGGACAAGATTGAAGACACCTACAGCATTCCTAGAAGATTTTCACTTTTTTTTTTTTTTCCTTCTGAAGCTCCAGTGAAGGAGACACCACACCACTCTGCACAGATAATGTGTTGCTTTAGAAAGTTTCCTCATATCTTCAGTGAAATCTCTTTTGCTTCAAATTCAGCAGATTTCTGCTGATCTCCCTCTTCCCCATGGCTATTTACTCATGAATTTATTTTTACAGCACTCTACCACCCATCGGTCAACTCTCACCCTCTTCGCCTTTTTCTCCCTCCTGCACTAACACACTCCTATCCTCCCGAGTCACAGCAAGCCCCAAACGCCCCGGGACTCTCTCCAGGCTGTCCAAACGCCTCCCAACGCCCGGACCTGCCAGCGGCGGCTTCCTTGGCGCCGCGGGAGGGGGGCCAAGGGAGCGGCG